CGTTCCAATTTCGTCGAATCTTCAATACCAAATCGTTTATCAACATCTGATGGATTTCCATAAATATCATAATAGATTTGTTCGGCTGAGATTCTGTGTAGATGAGACACTAATTCCAAAGCAAGACCACGTCCATCTTCATTCCATGCATCCCAGATAGCTGCAGCTCGATTTTGTACACGTTGAAATTTACTTAGTAGCAATGGACTATGTTTATTTCCGGTAACAGTTCGAATATTGACTCGGTGTGACATGGCCACTAATTAAAATTATCTGAAGTTGAAAAGAAAAGACAATTAGTGAAGATATAGTACAGGGTGGTCCATGAAGAACCCGGCGATAAGAAATTTAAATATTTCCATTGCGGCTCGAGCAAACGGGCTGATTTTTTTATCAATAATAGAGACATGTTTAAAGTTTATGTCCCTAAAGACATGTCTAGAGAAATCCTTTGCTAAGTATCACTAGTCATCTTATCAAAAAAAAATTTACTTTTTCACAGATAGAAGAAAAAACAATACACTTAACAAAGGACCTCTCTAGGCATGTCTTTATGGATATAAAGCTTGAACATGGCTCTATCATTGATAAAAATATCAGCTCGTTTGCTCGAGTCATCATGGAAATGTTCAATTATTTTTTCTTGCAACGTGACTTGTTAGAATGGCCCAAAAATCACGCAACCGAGTAAAAGATCGAATATCTCCATTTTGACTTGAGCAAACAAGCTGATTCTTTTATCAATGATAGAGGCATGTTCAAGCTTCATGTTCATAAAGGCATGCCTGGAGGGATCCTTGTTTAGGCACATTGGTTTCTTTTTCTATCTGTGAAAAAGTAACGTTTTTTGTTGAGGTCATTAGTGATACTTAACAAAGGCTTTCTCTAACCTTGTCCGTATGAATTGAAAGCGCAAATATATCTCTATTATTAGGAAAAAAAATCAACCCGTTTGCTTGAGCTATAGCAGAGATATTCAAATTTTTCTCCGTTGCATGAGTTTTGGGCTGCTCTGTTCCTAGTTGTGAAAAAGTAAAATTTTCTTGTTGAGATAACTAGTGATACTTTGCAAAGAATTTCTCTAGACATGCCTTTAGAGATATAAACTTTGAACATGTCTCTATCATTGATAAAAAAATCAGCCGGTTTGCTCGAGCCACAATGGAAATATTTAAATTTCTTATCGCCGGGTTATTTATGGACCACCCTGTATAGTAGATTAATATAGATCAAATAGTATATCAAATAAATACAATTTATGGTCTGTATATGATCTAATTTCATCATTTTCTACAGACTAGATTCATTGAAACATACATGTAGTCTTTCTTTATAAAATGAAGATAAGATAGAGAGAAGTACTTTAATTTAAAGAAATAAATTATTTATTTTTATATTAGAATGGTAAAATGAAAAAATCTAGGCATTTAAGTAGAGTCTATGGGCTTTTTTATTTCAAACTGAATTCTAAAATCAAAAAAACCACACCAATTTCTTCCGAATCAAACTTTTCTCCCTTGATACTACGTAGTCTCACTAAAAACCCTTAGTCCCCCCTAGTCCTGCAAAGTCCCCCTTAGTCCCCCCCACAAAAAGCTTAGTCCCCGCTTAGTCCCCTGTGCAGGGGACTAAAGCCTATAGTACACAAAACCACAAGCACACCTTCACCCTCACTCGCGCGCCCACACCCGCACCATGGGTGTGGGTGTGTGTGGGTCCCAGACCAACACCCACACCCTCAGTCACCCCCTCCCTCACTCCTAGACTCACGTTTCAGTTTGAAATCAAGTATTATTTTTATTTGATAAATTCAGACTGAAATTAAATAGCCCATTGTATGTCCTCGGAATAGGTCAATATTGGTATAGGAAAAAGTGAATGAAACAGATGAGTCACCCTAGAATCTGTGGACATCAAAATTGCCCTGGGAAACTCTTCCTGTAAACACTTAGTTTCTATTGGCTATTGCTCAGCCAATACGATTTGGAGGCAAATACAGCTCAGATTTGAACTCTTCACCTTGATTTACCTAAGAAACTCGTTTTTCCTATAACTTGATTTCTATTGGTCACTGCTCAACAAATGGGATTTCGAGGCGAATGGAACACAGATTCGAGTTCTCCATTTTAGAAAACCTCGAACTATCATCTCTGTGATGGGAAGATAGAGCTCGAATTGTGGATCACATAGAGCGTGGACAAAAACAGAACCGAATTCCGATTAATTATCTTTGCAATAGGCGAGTTAGCTTTCTTGTTTCTTTATATTTTATATACCATTTTGTAGCTCGTGAAATTCTCTATCGAATGGTATATAATAGTTGGGGGTTTATATGACTATGATAGGAAAAGTTTTTTATGAAAGCAGAGAAGGGTCTATCTTCTCATGGGGAAAAATGACTATTTTTGCAATAACTCAGCAATGGTTCGGCCAATCATTCTCATCTTCGAACTCGACCGAGATATTGTAAAGACTAAACTGTGTAGAAAATTTCATCGCGATCGGACTCTCCTTTCAAAAGTTATCGTGTTAACGGCCGGACGGACACACTGACCGATTCTAGAGTGTACTCACTTTTTGAGTACACAAAAAGGGTATGTATTTTGGGAATAACTTTTGATAGGAGCAAGATAGTAATTTGCGTTTTTCACGATTAACAAAGTGTGACAAAACTGTTTCAAATCGTATAGACCAGTTTTTTCTGACGCGTTTTCTCAGAGTCTGTCATCGAGTTTATGTAAAAAATACAACATATTGTAATATAGATTATAGAATTTCAATTTTCAAGTATGCATTAAAAGAATTAGCTAAAGATTTATAAATGATGAAAGTCCGATGTTGTAAGGCTTAGTCAATCATGAGTTAAAAGTATTTAACTCCGCATGATCGACATATTTTTCATATGGAATTTTTCTTTTAGTTTTTTCATAAATGATTCACTCTAAAACGTACAGGGTATCTGGAAAGCAGCTCCCTATTTTAAATTCTTTTTTTCTCTCTAATAAGAATAGAAATTGTATTACTTTTTTTTTACTATTTTGAAGCATGCTTTATAAGGTTTTGTTTCATATAGGAAAGAATGTTAATGTATTGACTATTTAAGATCAAACGCAAATTTTATCTGAAAAATGCTTGAAAAATAACTTCTTATTTTTCATCGTTTATTACTTTTATACAAAGCATATATGTTGTAATAATTTTTTTCTATTTTGAGGTGTGTGAAATAGGTTTACGCGATAATGTCTCAAAAATAGTCGCGACAGTATTGTATTTCAAAACCATGAAAAAATTATTACAATATATATGCTTTGTTTAAAAGACTCGATTTTTCAGAAAAATTAGTGAACGATTCTGAGAAAATTTGTCAGAAAAATCTGGTATATAAGATTCGATGTAGCTTCATTCCTTCTTTTATATGGTGCAAAGAACAAATATATATCTTATTTCTATCAAAGATTATTTCAGAAATATTTGTTCTTTTCTGTTGACATGAATAATAGTATGGTTCATTTATTTGTTCTTGGACCACATGTAACCTATTAATATTAGATGAGCTTAAAGAATATATAAACTTTTACAGATAAGAACAAATTACTTACAAGAAAGACTTTTTTCACCATCCTGTACCGTGATCCGTTCAGTACCATTCACTGTATCTCTCGATAGTATTTTCATTGATGATGGTGGTGCTGCTGTTGGAACCTAAAAAGAGCGAAATGATAGATTTTTTTTATATTAAAGTCATACTATGGGAATAAATTTCGTTACTAACTTGATTATAAAAAGCCATGATACTAATTGAGGTGTCTAGTAAATCAGCTAATTTACATTTTGGCAGAGGTAACGAGTCCGTATACGGATGGTTGTTATACGTAATGAAGTGATCTGCCTCTTTCTTCACTACATTGATGACATTGCTGTATCGAATGATAATAAGAATAGCTGTTGCTTTATAAGTGATCAGTTGACCACTTGAATCAATAAGTTTTATTTGTGATTGAAAAACATTCTCGGGTGGCACATCACGATTTACAAATTTCTAAAATAGATTTTAAAAAATTCAACGATTTTATGTTCTAGTTCATTGTAATGATTTAATTTAAGAAATAGTTTCAAGGCTTTTGCTAATATAAATCAATATCATTGCTGAGCTTTATGAGAAAAGATTAAGAAGCTATAGATTTAATTCCATTCAAGGCCTGCTATATACTGAAAAGTATGCTGCAATATAAACAATATTTTACACATTTTCTTATAGTATATAATTTCTGACTATCGTTATGCTAGAATTTAAAAGTAATTGTTTATAATCAACGCAAAACTCACCAATAATACAATAGGACATTTGTGAAAGATTTGTTTATATACTGGTAAATCAATATTTTTGATGGAATATTTACAATTTTCACAAGATCGTTCATCATCTGTTAAATCATCATTGTCTTTCGAAATGACTCGATGAGCCACTAATTGATTGTTTACAGTAAGTTTAAAAATAAAAATTTGATGATGTGATGATACGAGTGAATTCGGTGTTTGACGGCATAAAGGACAATAAAAGTAAGTAGAAATATCAGAGATGAGAGTTTCTTTTAATTCATTAAGATCAGGATTAGTTTCAATTATTTGACATGCTTCTTGAAGTGTAAGAGATATTGACACATCAGGAAATTCTAATGACGAAGCATCAGATGAACATCGAGCCATAGCATACACCATGTTAAATTTTGTCTGGTGAAAAATGCGTTCAAATATTAAAATACCTATAATAAGAAAACAAATTCATTAATACTTTGCTGAAATCAGTTAGAGAACATCAGACTTCATTTAAGTTTTAAAACGAGTTAGGAAGATCTCATGAAACTTCAACAGCTCCTAAGGTTCCAATGCAAATTAAAAACGATAACCATCAGACTTTGAAATATTTAGTAAGACTATTATGAAACGGATGATTATTTTGGTAAATTAATTAGTTTTGGCTTCTTATATGGAGTGCTAAAAGTAGCTCTCACGATTAAAAGGCTCTTGTCAACAGCCAAAAATTTCACTATTTCAAAATTCAAGAAGTTTGAGGACTCAACTGTATTAGGTCAAGTGTGATGAAATGTCGACTCTGTTAGCAAATTCAGAAGTAGAGTTTTACTTACGACTGGATCCATATAGAAGACGTAATTGTTCTCCATTGCCAATTATTTTTTTATTAACACTGGTAGTCCAATTTTTTTTAGTTTTTGTCACTCGTATCATAACATTTTTATCACCCACACCTAAAACACTGTTAAAGGTAATTAAATCATATAATGTAGAAGATGGAGCACCAATAGCAATCCAGTGAGAGAATTCAGATACAGATATAACGGCTGGAGGTCTTCTGTACCGAAAAGTTGCTTTTGGATCAGTAATATTTATGATGAGAACCTGTGGCCATTGGATCACTTCTATATGCCGAACAGTTGATTTGCCACATGCTGAACATAATACATCCGATGTCATAGGACCGAAAAATGTAAGTAGTTCATGTTCGATGTACAGACCAGTTTTACTAATATTAACTGGAATATGTATAATAATCACCCGTACCTTTGTTTCACTTTTACATGAATGACATACATATACTTTATATCCAATAATATTACAATGAAGAAGTGGAATAAGAATATTTTCAAGTATATACATTGATTGTTCATTTGGTTCTTTAGGTTGATCAGTATTTGGTAAGTTGAACGTAACTTTTGACATTTGATTAGTTCGTGTTGTTGATTTGCACCAATCATCAAGAAAAGTTCTTATCAAATCAAGAATAATTGGTATATTTGTTGGCAATATTGGAGGACAATTATAATACATTCCATAAGTTTGAGTAGAAAGAAGCATACAAATAGCAGTATTTAACCAGCTTGGAGTAACAACCGGCAATACAAGATT